AGTACAGACAGCAACATTTTGAGTTATTTGAGAAAAAACAAAACAACCAAAGTGAAATATCGTCCACTATATGAGTACATACAACTGTGATCCTGTTCTGCAAATTCATTTAAGGAAAGGAATCTATAATCAGCTAAAAGAAGCCATTTCTAAACAAACTAACGAATTCTCGATATTTTATTGAAAATAATCGATGGACACTTCGTTAATAAATCTCCTAAAACTTTTGAATAGTAAGTTAAATAAAAACTATTAAATACAAAAATATGGTTAATTTTGTCAGGACACACATAATTTTTAAATTGAACATTTTCTTCGGAACACACCATTAAAATTTTCTATGGAATAAATATTAAAACTATTACAAATTTTTAGAAGAAAGTAAAAATATAAATCGATTCAAAATATAAAAATTCTAAATAAAAAAATTTATTTTTCTTTTTTAATTTTCTTTCTGACAATATGCCGATGTATGACCCCTTAAATATTATTTAAGAATTCAACATATAAGAATACTTGTATGTATAGGTTTTTATGAGCATTAAAATATATTTTCTTTTATTGCAATCATTTACCACGGAACCAAGGGAATAATATTGTCTGAACATCCAGTTGATGTCGCAAACGAAACAATTCATTCAAACAATTTCTTACCCCATAAATATACGGTATACGCATATTACTGTATATACTATATTAACCACCCTCAATATGCTCTTTTTTGTTCCAATTGTTCCAAATTGTAATACAAAATAACATTTGATTTTTTATTGAAGCCAATATTGGCATCAAAATTATTCTTACGAAAAGTAAAATCTTGAAAAATAGTAGGTTGCAAAAAGCATTAAGAGTTAAATCATTAATTTCAACATTTCTTTACAAAAATTCAGCTGTTAAGAAGACATTCAGAGCTGTGATGAATGCTTACTGATATCTTCTAACCGGCAATTTTCACAATATCGAACATCTAAAAAACATGGGATTATGTTCTTCCGACTTCACCACCTTTTCTCAGTGACTGCGAAGCTTAAATCCTTTTTTGAGCAAATTGTCCCGAAAAAGACACTCGACTCCTTCGTGAATATATGCTTTGAAGGAGTGCTATAGGTAAGAGCAAACCCTTAAACATTAAATTATACAAATGTTAGTAAATTTTTCGGATTTTTAAAAATTGAATTTTAAAACTAACACTCCAACACTGGGGAGAAAATTTTTTATTTGAAAAGTAGAAACAACAAAATTTAACATTCAACCTCTTATATTATTAAGTTTAACAACGATATGAAAATTTATTATCCTGTCAAGCGACGTAACAGTTCAACAATATTGTTACAAGTTTTTCCTCTTTTTTCATTGTTTTTATTTTTATTCTTTTATTAAAAATCTTCAACACAAATATATTTATGTTGTATAAAACATAAATTTTGGGGGTAGAAGGCATTATTCATTTCGCATAGACACACACAATATAATAATACGAATTATTCGGAGTATGTAAGTAAATCGTATGTTATTCAACATTAAATTTACTATAGACCACACTATTATATTATTTGCCTACTACAATACTATACATCCTCTGCTACTACTCTATGGATGGTTTGTTATCCTAGTGCTTAAAATATTGTTTCGTAATGGGCACTCGTTACACACGGAATAAAAAAGAAATTTTACTCCATAATAATGAAAAATCATAGAAAAGACAAGTGTAAAAACCAACTTATTTTTAAAAAATTTTGGGGTGTTATAGAAAAATATAGTATTTATACATATAAATATTTAATATGAGAAGAGAAAAATATCCTGATAAACATTTAACTCAAAAATGAACACTTGACATTATTTTGAATGGAAACATTTACGCAATTGATTGGATATTTTAAAATTAAGTGCGTTTTTTCCTCATTTTTAAGGATTCATATGCAAATAAAATAAATTAGTTTAATGAAAAATTTATTTTAATTACTTTAATGACGTTGACTAATTATTGAATTTATGAAAATCTTTTCACAGAATTAAAACAAAATTTTATTGATTTTAAGGTAGGACTAATTTGATACTTTTATAATTAGTAATAGATTTTTATAGAAATAGCAATTAATAGAAACTTAATACATAAATTTACAATTTTAAACAAAGTTAGTTATCGCAATATTTTGAATCTTAATTGAAGATCTTTATTTTCTTCATAATTAACTGGGGAATGTGGGGGTAAGGTACACCAAAAATGTTATATAGAGTCTACAATAATTGTAATTTTAAAAGCATAATATTCAGCCAAATATAAGTAACAGATAACATTTTTGCTCAAAATCTTAATTTTGGAAACTTAATCACTACAGAAATAATTTAAACAGATGAATGAACTTTCTTTCCCTTTTTCTCAAGATATTTACCAGATCAATCCATCTGACGATGAATATAACACGGTAGAGCTATTCGCATTTTTTGAACTCGTAACTTTTCATTTTACCATGAAATTTATTTTTTTCACTTATTCTCATTCCCACTGTTTCTGAATCTTCTATCTGAATGATCTATCCCTTTTAATAGATCACCTTCTATTTATTCTCGTTTGCTAGAAATAGTCTCACAACGTTCTTTAATGCTGTCCTACTGCTACTAAAAATATAAAACAATTAATTTTCTATTAAGAAAATACTACGATTATCTTATTATAATTAAACCAAACGTATAAAATTTTACTTTTTTTTACAATTTCAACAAAGTGTATAACATGTAAATTATTAAAGAAGTGTCAGTTTTGGGAGAAACATTTTACTGGTTTTTAACACTCCTTTTGACAACTTAATGAATAGTAAATTGTAACTTGAATAAGTTTTAATAAATAAATGGCAGAATTCAGAAATGTTTACCCTAATAAATTGGAAATAATAATTTTAAGATCGTATCTAATCCAAAACAAAAAAAAAAAAGAAAATATCAACGAAATAATTACATATTCCAAGGATATTAAAGACAAAAAAAAGGAAATTTCATTATGCTGCCAAGTATTATAGAAATCATTATTACCATAATAATAATCCTATTATTAAACCTTGCTCATATCAAATGCTTAAATTTAATTATAATTAAAATAACACCCTTTTGTTATTTTTCATTTATTATAACTTTTGAAATCAGCTTTTTAAGTACAATTGTTCTTATAATAATAATAATAATTTCAAAACTAGTAGGATTTCAATATTCAGTAATTTTCTATCTTTATTACCTTTAGAACTTTTATACTAAAATGCAAACCAAATAATGAAATGAATTGTCAGAATAATTTAAGAATTATTTTCTATTATAATCAAACAGGTTCAATAGTGAAATTAAAGCGCTAATTACAATCAAACATGTTCGATAACGAAATGATTTCGTTATTTGGTTTTATAGCCAAAATGAAAAATTTAAATGAATAAATTCAGCTAAGAAAAAAAGATTTGCAACTTAAAAACAAAAATGTTATTGCTACATTTAATCTATTTTAGTATAATAATGAATTTACGTGAACCACAAAGCATAAATTTTTTAAAAATTGAAAAAAAATGTTTTTCTCATTTAATGTTCTTTTTTTTCATATTTATTTTAACTCATAAATCAAAAGGACTTAATAAATCTTATAAACATCAACCCTTATATTGGGCTTATAAGCATAAAACACATTTTGGACTGAAATCCGTTTTGTTTTTGAATTTTCAAATTACAAAACAGGGGGGCAAACAAATACTTACGCAACGGAACATCAAATTATATGATTGTCCTTTATACCAGGATAATCATACTATATAATAATAGAATTGAAAATAAGATAGAAAAAAAATAAATGAAAAATTTAAGAAACAAAAAAAAAAATCATCAATTCAACTCCCTTTAAGCTTTTATTGTTGGGGTGCATTAAACAAAACGAGCACGTGCACCCCAAACAAAAACAACTCAAAATTTGAATTCAACGCATCTATAATGACATTTTATTTTTTTTTCTGTACGATTAGAAATATTTTGTTCTTATTTTTTGTGAAATCTACACTTGTCCTTAGAGAAAAATGAGTTTTTTTTAGTATTAGTATAAATATACAAAGAAAAACACAATTCAACGAGGCAATTTTTTAAATTTACTGAAGGTGTTACCCCTTAAAATAAATGGTTGAACATATTTATAGAAAAAAAAACAAAATGTTGAAAAACACATTGTTATTCCATAACTTACATAATAGGAAAATGTATGAAAAAATCCTTATGTTTTCTATGTATGCGTATTTACATATGAAAAAGCAAATTCTCTTGCTCTAAAATCCAGTAACTTGTAATTTCTGGATATACAAAATTGTTAAAATAATGTTGGAATGCAGTATAATTTACAATTATCATTTTATGTAACGAAATTTTAAATAAATTTATACTACAAGTTAAAATTTTCGTAATTGATTTAAAAAAAAATTTGCTCTTTGTAATTTAAATTGAAATTGTTTCATACAAAATATTGTGCTGTTTGAGGCAATCACATAATATGTTTACTTCACATTACAATTCTTTGGATATTTATTTTATTCTACAATTATGTTATAGATTTTGAAAGTATACTTTGAAATTATAGGCTTTAAAACTTTGTCTTCGAATTTTCTTAATCTATGTAAATCGTATGATATTTATATACACGTACATAATACATATACAATATATACGAATAATGCGAATATTATTACTAAAAAGAAGAAATAACTTATAATCGTATAAAGGCAATAATAAAATTTTAAACCCGCTACAAAAATATTATTACCAAAATTTCCAAAAACATTTATGAATATTACTTAATCCTTAAAAAAATCATTTAATCCTAACAACATTAACCCAAAAAACAAAATTATTTTATCTTTTAATCCCACCTATTTTTTATAACCTAAATTCTTTTCTTTTCGGGAGTATCCTAAGACATATCAAACCTATAACATTTTTTATTTATTTACTATTCACAATTCTACACAAAATATAAAAATTTATACATAAAATACCTCAATATATCCTTGAATATTTTTACTTTGCTTCATCAGCAATATTTTTTCCCAAAATATATCTGAATTGAATTCTAATTTATCCTTAGTTGTACAATTTGAACTTAAAAATACACTATCAATATCTTCACTACTACTTGATAATCTATTTATTATTTTATTACAACATTCATACGATGATGATCCACCTTGAAGGATATTTCTATTATTTATTACTGCATTAGTATTATGTTGTATTGAAGAAGATTTTTGTCCTTGGATTATCACTGAATTTTCAAATTTTCTATATTTAGATTTAATTGGTAATGTTCTACTACTACGATAATAATTTATATTAGAATGAGAGCTTATTAGAGGGTGTGAATTCAAATAAATTTCATCCATTGAATGCCGCCGTATTTTTAATATTTCTTTTTTTGCATGTATATGTTTAGTATTATTACTATGTTCATTATAGTATTCGTTACTTTTTACTATTGGCAAACATTTAGCATTTTCCGGTTTGATATCATCCTTTTTCTCTAATTTTATAATCTGTTGTAAAGGTTTTGGATTAATTTTGGAATTTTTCAATCCTATTAAAGTTGAATCAGCAGAAAAAAATTTCAAATTTTGATGATTATTACTATACTGAGGATATGTATGATGAAGATAGGAGTAATCACTATGAAGATGAGGCTGCTGATGATTGTCATTGTTATAGTAACTGTTTATATCCTTAAATTTTTTGTGATTATACTGTTGTCCTTTACCATTGTTTGGTATTAAAATATCTAATGGTATATTATGTTGCTGATAATTTTGCTCCCTCTCTTTAGTAGAAATCATTTTATTACTAGCCATAGGTTGAATAACATTCTGTTGAGATTGTTCTAATTTTGTTACAATTGTATTGGTATTGGAACTAGAGTAATTTGATTGCTTTTGTTTCTGTTTTAGTAGCTTTAGTTGTTGTTCTTTTTGTTGTTGCTCATTTTCTTGAACCTTTAAACTAACATTTTTATTAACCATTATTTCTATACAAGAATATTTATTATTAAAATTTACTACTGTTGCTGTATTAGGAATTGTTGAAGTTGATTGTCTACAATTTTCATATGAATTGAATTGGTTTTGTACGTGCATAGATTTTAAATTTGAATTAGCATTGGTTGATGAACTTAATTCAATTGATGTATCGGAAGCAGTTGAAATAGTCTCAAATATTTCCGGATCAATTGTAAAATAGTTATGATGCACTTCATTAATGAGATTTTCTTTGAATTTGAAATTTTCATTGCAAATAATTTTTTTCTTAATAGAATCATCATTTATAATCAATTTATTTTTATCATTATTTTCTTCTTTGATAACAAATACTTGATTATCAACATTATCATTACTATTCAAAATATTATCATCGAAATGGTTTACTTGGTCATTGAAAATTTGTTCGAGAATATTGTAATTCGACTGTTGTTGTTGTTCTTGTTCTTTCATTGGAATTTCTTGAAGAGCTTTTTTAATAGAATCAAGTTCAATTGTTGATTTTTGATCCTTCTCATTAATAAAGTCAACATTTGGATCAAAAAGATAATAATTTTCTAAATGTGATATTTTTGGACCTTTCCTAGGTCGTACAGGAATATTTTTCAATTGACTGGATGTAAATTTTGGTTTTGATAGAATTTTCATATCATCAGGCGAAATTTTCAGTTGTTCAGAGGAAAGAATGTATTCATTTTCATTGATTTTCGATTTTTCATGTTGTTTATCCAAATGTATTGGTGAATTGAATTTTTTAATTTCATTTGTTTCCAATTGAGTGAAATGAACTGCTTTACTCAAAGCTGATGTTATAGAAAACTTACTATTTAATTTGGAAATACAATTTTTCAATTCACTTAAATGTAATCCTTTATTTGAAGGGCTTGTATAACTCTTACTTCTATAATTGTTACTATTATTGTTATTGTCATTGTTATTATTGTAAGAATGATTCTTTTCTTTGGCTTTTTCCAAGTCATTTCCACTAATAATAGGTTTTTTTTCATCATTCAATTTTTGTAAGTGATTTTTATTTAAAGAAGGAATATGACTTATAGGTGGTGGTGTTGGAGGTTTATGGAAATTATAATGTAATGGTGTTGATTGTGGTTGTATTGAAATTGTTTGATGTTGTTTTAAAGGAATGGTGTGATGATTATGGATAGTTTTCTTTTGTAATGGTGTTGATTTTGTTGATATTTTAAAGGGAGTTTCTGTAATTATCAAATAAAAAATAAATTAAATTTATTATTAAATGTTAAATGAAAAAGAAAAAATTATAAAATGTTGTACAAAACTGCATAATTTGCATGCCAACAACTCTAACATCGGGAAAGAGCTCGAGTTCGGTTTTTATTTTTACTCAATATTTTAGCTAAGCTCTGTATTTAATTAATTTATTGTAGTTCAGTTATTCTAGTTTTCTTAAATATTATAAAATTAGTTTAATTTTAAATTCAACTCACCTTCACATTTTAATTCCACATCCATAATTGTTTGGTCACAATTTAATGAATCTCTTGCATTAATTGCATTTGTATTATTGTAAAAAACATTTTCGATAACAATATTGGCATATTGATTATTTTTAATTAAATTTAAATCAGAATCCAAAATGATTTCTAAAGATGAATTTGATTTCATTGAAAACTCATCTAAATTTTTATTATTGTTCATTAAATTTGAAATTTTTAAATCGGATTCATTAAAATTTTCAAATTGATTTTTATTTAAAATTTCTTCTGCATCAGTAAAGAGTTTTGTTGTCTTAAAAATCACTGAATTATCTTCAGACTGTTGAGTATCGATCGATTTTTGTTGTGTTTCCTCTTCGATTATCATTTCTTTTATCTCAACTGTACCATAACTTTTTCTATATATTGATGAATTTTGAGAAGTTTTAACTAGTTTCTCGTCTTTAATTCTTCTTTTAATGGTGAATCCATTATGACTTTTTTGTATATTTTTTGTATCAACTTTAATTTGTTTTTGTGTTTTGGGGAAAAAATCATATTTAGGGTTTTGCTTATATGATAATATTTTAACATTTGATTTTTTTAAATATTTTTCATCATCATTTTTGAAATTATCATTTAAGGATATTCCCTTAGGTTGAATATTACTTTCAACAGAACTAACTGTTGTAATATTATCATAAATATCATCATTATCATGAATATCAATTCTATCATTGTCATTTTCAGGAACATTATTAACTGTTATAATTTTTTTATTATTATTTTTAGTAATTTTTTTATTATTAAAATCTGACCTTGATGATTTTTGTTTCTGCTCCTGTTTCTGATCCTTTTCTTGTGAATGTTGTTGTTGTTTTTCATTGTTTTGATTAAATTTTCGAAATTTCAAATTTGTTTTTATTATTTCATTTTCAGTCTTACCCTTGAGGTTATTTTTTACCAATACTGTTTCTTGTTTTTCATGTAAGTCTTGTTTAGTTTTAACTATCTTTATTTTATTTTTTGGTTGAATTTTTACAAAACTTTTTATTGCAGTTGTTTCAACTTCTGTTTGGCTCGGTATTACTTTGGTTTTTATTGCTGTGGGAGATGGACGTTTTTTTATTGTACCAGTAAATGAGCTTGGTGAATCCCAATCTAATGATTTTTCTAAATTTACTGGAACATTAAGAGTTTTTAGACTTTTTGAATTTTTTAAAAACTTTCTTGATGATGTTTTTGCCATTGCTATCCCAGTTGTACAATATTTGGATGACATTGTTAGATTTGAGTTTTTTGATTTTTTCGACATTTTTTATTTCGAAAAATTTTAATATTAGGAACATTATGTTTTTTTTCAGATTTCTGGGTTTTCTTTTTGTTATTTTATTTGTGGTTTTTTGTTTTCTTAAAATTTAATATTATTTCATAATTAAATTTTTTTATTACTATATTTATAATCTACAAATAACATATTTAAATATAATATGTACTTTTCATTTAAAAATGTCATATTTATTCATATTAAATTAAATATGAAAAATTTAATAAATATTAGTAATCGTAAATATTAAAATAACTTAAGGATATTTATACCGTTTCAAGCTAGTCTTTTATTTCTAAAATTGAATAATAATATTATTCATAATAAATTTTTTTTTGTTTCAAATATATTGGAAAAGGAATTGGAATATTGCTCAGAGCATTTAGGCCTTTTTTTGGATTCAAATTCATTCTTCCTAAAATAAAATTGAATATTTCTAATAGAATTTGTTAAAAAAATTCTTAAATATTAGTCAAATATCCAACAGAAATCGGGTAATTTTGTGGTAAAAAAATGTAAAGTACTTATAAAAAATAACAAACTTTCATACCATAGGAATTTTACCATAATGAGATAAAATAGTCACAATTACTTTGATGAATTTTTCAAAAATTCGTTCTAAAACTTCCTATCTGTTATAGTTCCATCAGAAAAATCTATTATAGTTCCTTCCTATCTATTATATTTTCATCAGTTAAATATTTTCATAAGGCCTAAAATTGTCTTATTAAAACTTAAATACTCCCAATAACAGTCTAGTACTCAGTATATTGCTTTGCTCTTATAAATAACACACATTTTTTACACAACATAAACACATCGCCTTAAGTCTTCCTAATGATATTTAATTAAAAAAATTTTTTTTCTTAAAAAATTTCCTACGATTTTTAGTTTAATTTATCATTAAGAATTTAAAAAAAAAACTCTCAATTTTCATTATTTTCACTTCCTCTTAAAATTTATGTTTATTCTTTCTATTTTCTTGAAGCTCTTTAATTTCTTTTATATTGGAAAAGTAGAAAAAATGAAATTTGTTGACAAAAATTGTGATATCTAAAAAAAAAAAAAAGGAAAAGAGCAAATTCTTTAAGGATACAAGCATAAAAGAAATTAGGACAAAATAGAAATAAATGATGATATTTGTGTGTATGTACGGGTACAAACATCCAAATTCGTCAACACAATAGTATGAACATTTATGTACATAAACTGTGGTAGTTAGCATTTAAAAGTTACATTTATGTCATTTACCGACTAATGTCAAACCAGTTACTTTGTAATTAATCATATTACAACAATAAAAACAACAAACAAAGTCAAATACAATAAAAGAAAAGGAAAAGAAATGTGAAATAAGAAAAGAGAAATTTATTACCTTTAGGACAATTAAAAAATACCGGTAAGTCCTTAAGGGTAATCTTAAAAATTGACATACTTTTATATTTATATACATATATACAAAATATACGTACATATAACATTTAAAAATTAAATAAAAAGATTTATTATTAAATAATTAGAGACAAATTATTATGACATTCTTATATAACACAAAAAATTTAATAAAGATTTATTTATAATCCCTAGAGGTCAAAAAAAAAATTTTCTTTTAAAACGTTAGCAAAAAAAATGAACAAATAAATTATGTTTATTTTGTTCATTTAATATTAAATTATTCTTAATTTATGGGGGTGATGACTTTTAATGGTTAGAAAAGACTGGAAATTCTAAAGTATTTTAGCAACATTAAAATTATTTTACTTCTTACGTTTTCTTTCATCTTCCTTACGTTCAGATTAATTTGATATAAGATATTCTAAAAATTAATTAAAACACGAATAACAAGATCACTGAGAAATTTACCAAAAATAATTTTGAAATTTAAATATTAGAATGGTTTTGAAAATTTTATATTAAATTGACCTTGATTACAGTCAAAAATTTTAAAGACATTAATCTGTTATAGTACTATTTTTCAAAATCCATTATCAATTACAAAAAATTATCATTTGATTTACTAGATTGCACTACAATTATTGTATTAAATATTACATTGCAAGTTAGCTAATAGCGATTCACATCAATCTACATAGAAATTGGCGCTTTATATCTTAGTTATTCCCTAAAAAAGTCATTATGAACTGGTTACAAACATAAAAAGAAGAAAATTACATGTTAAATTACTTGGTTTTAACTACATTTAACAAAAATTTTAGCTTAAATCAATTTGGAAACAGATTATTAACTTGACTATTATTAGCTATTCATCTGTTTTCAGGTACGTCCTAAAAATGTTCGGAAAATGATTCTTTTATTAAACTGTCTTTTCAGTAAAGAATTGACATTAATGTTGTATGAGCGTTTTCTGTTCTGTAAATTCAATGTAGCTCTCGTCTTCCAAATATTTTCTACGACTTTAAATTTCTCGTTTTCAAAACTTAAATCACCAAAAGTTAAACATTTTCTAAAGCCATATGTAAATAAAAAGACACCTTTATATTTAAAAGTTTTTCCTCTCATGAATGAATTGCTAAAATAAAAAAAAAATAAAGAATATAGTAAAATAATTCCAATTTAAATTAAACCTTAAGAAAACCTTATTTTTTTTTTTATAACAAAACAAAACATTATTTTAAAGATCTCATAGAGACAACTTTCATATGCCAAAAAAATCTTTATATTTAATGACAATAACATTCGAAGTTAATTTTATTAAGATCAAAAGTAATATTGTGTGTATATGCTCGCATAGATTTATTTATAATATCTTTCAAGATGTATTGCTGTTTCTGTTTGCTGTGTATAACAATAAGGGAAAGGCAATAACAGAAAGAAATTGAAAAAGTAAACATAAAAGGATTAAAAATAAAATAGGATGTATAATAAATAGTTGAAAAGGATTAAAAATTTAAAAAAATAAGCAAAACTACCAAACAAGCACATTAACTTTTGTTTTTTTGCCATTTATTTTTCACTTTTTCAAATGTTTTATAACTTTTTTTTATCTTAGCACAATTACTTGAATCTCATATGCTTTCGTGTATTTTTTTTTGTAATTATTTTTCCGGTAGTTTTAATTTCATTTAATTTCAAAAATAAAATTGAATAAATCCTTAAATACGTATAAAACAACAGGATAAAATACGACATAGGTATTATCTTATTTTTCAAGTATTTTCTTCAGGTGTCTAAAACACAAAAAACTTGAACAGAGTGTTTTTGATTTTTTGAATATAAAAGTATAAAATAAAAGAAAAGAAACAACAAAAAGAAAACAAAATAATTATGAAAACACTTTATAAGAGAAGTGTATAAGAACACGTTAATCCTTTTGCTCCTTTTAAATTATATGTTATACAAATATTTTTTTAATTTTACCTTGAAATGGAACTATTGTAATTTGCATGTACATATTTGGAATAAAATGGAAAACCCAAATTTTAACATAGTCGCTTACAAGCGTGCGTCAATTGAGGTGCTTCTTCTTTGTGGACTTTTTAACGCAAACCTCTCTTTTTTCGCAAACATTGTCCTTATTAAACAACATCTAAGACAATTATCAGCCAGTTTTCTTGAACTTTGGAAATAAAAATTTTTTATACCATTATATACATATATTTAATACGATCGAATATTATGCAGATCACATCACAATCTCCTAAAATATGCTTAGCGAAGGCCTTAAATCAAAAAATTCTTAATTAATATATCCTTAAAAATGCAATTTGAAACTTGAAAAGAATTCTAATTAATCATTTATACAATACAGTTCAATTAAAAAATTAAAAAAAGACCTTTTACCTGTCACTATTTAAAAATTCAATAAATTTTTTGACTCAATTATTTATTTTTTTTCTTTATTTAAATTTAAAATTATTTTTCTAACTATAATTTTTCAACTCAATTGTTGAACATAACGAAAAAAAAAACGAAAACTATCACTAAAAACAATTATAAGAAACTTTTTAATTAAAGAATTTCATAAAAGTTCCTAAAAATTATCAATTTTTTTGCAAAATAAATAAAATTCTAGTGAACAAATGCATTTAAATGATGACAACTTGTATAATTACACTACATTTTCTTTGCGCAATTTGTAAAATAAAGGTAGTACAAGAAAATCAAAAGGAAATTCTTATAGAAAATTATCAGATTTAAAAGGAACAAAAACAAGGAAGAGTAAAATTTTATCAAATTAATAAATCAAAAAATGGAAGCCCCGTTCTTCCTTCTGTTTTGGAAAAGAAAATTATTAAAGGAAAAATAAAGAAAAAATTCTTGTTTTCAGTTTTGGTTTCTAGTTTCTTATCTGTACGACCAGAGAATTCTTAAATTTTTTCGTATTTTAATAACAAAAAGGAAAATTAAAAAAAAAAAAATAAATGAACTAGTAAAAAGATTTAAAAAATTTTGCAAAAAAAAAAACTTTAATTTCGTTTTTTAATTTGTTGGCGGGAGGTGAGTACAGCTTTCACATCAAATTTTGAATGTTTAAATTTTGGAAACAGAAATACTCAGTCGTTTTATCTTCAAGTAAAAGTCAGTCGTCTTCTCATTCAATCGGACATCCTGAATCTTCTGCCTCATATAAGATATCAAACCGGATCTTTAAAAAGTCAAATTCACCAGCTTCTGCCTAACATTTGGAACTAAAAGCCAACATTTTTATTGAAACGGTACACAATTTTTTAAGTGCAAGCATGTTTGGCTTCATTTTACTCATTAATAAATCAGTAAGTTTTGATAAAGACAATTTTTGTGTTTCGATAAAAAATGCTATCATACTTGCAAGTACAGTCACTAATACGTTGGCCACATTAAATTGTTCCTCTCTATTTTATTATATTCATGTTCTATGATTATATAAAATTTATTACTAAGTTTTATTATGCAAAAATTGTAGCCAGAAATTTAAAACAAAA